GCTTCGCCTTGAGGCTGTTTTCAGGGTCCTGGAGTTCGGGTTACGTCCGCAAGTGACAAAACTCAAGTGGCCAGGTCAAAGTTATAAACCTATATTGAGTTTGGAGATTAGGTCAATACATGTTTTGTGATGCAAAATTGGCTTTTTCTTTTTGTGAGCAAATGATATTATCTATACTAAAAGGATGAGGAAGTGGGTTAAGTTTCATAATGGACTATCAATAATGTGGTTCAAATTCACATTTGACAAGAATTGAACCTAAGACCTCTAACTTACAAATGACGAGGAATATCACTAAACCGTAATACTAAGTGGCGATGTAAAATTGGTTATTAAACTAAGAATTGAAAACAATATAGTCATCAAACAGTCTTTAGACCATCTCCAACCCTTGGGCTAAAAGCTAAAATTTTTAGCCTAGAAACAACTTTTATGCTCCAACCCTTCTAGCCTAAATTTTTTAGCCTGAGATTATTAAAGAATAAATTTAGGCTAATTTTTTCTTTCAAAGTAATTTTAAAAAAAAAATTATGTACACTATCATAATTTAATTTTATGAACATTTTAACCTAAAAATATTTAAATTCCGATAAATATTGAAAATTCACTAAATTTGGGTGAATTTTGAGTTAAATAATTTTTTTAATTATTTTAGCCGTTGGATTTAAATTTGGGCCTGTTAGATTTTATTTTTTTTTTTACCATTAGATTTGATTATATTCGATTTCAACTGTTGGATTCAATAAATCTTGGGAGACATGCCCATATAGGATGAGGTCTCGCTAGTGGTGCCCACACCATTTTCTGGGCTAAATCCTGGGGAGAATTTGGCTTTTAGCTTTTAGCCCACACATTTAGCATGGGTTGGGTTGGGTTGGGTTTGGTTTGGGGTGGGGGGGGGAATAAAACCTAAAAAATAGTATTTAGCCTAAGGTTGGGTTTGGTCTTAAGGAGCTAAACAATATTTTTACATATGTAAAGAGTTCAATGTTCTTAAACATCATCACCTACCTATTCTCCTAAATTTTTTGACCGGAAAATGTATTAGATGTTCCTCAACTAAAGAGTTAATTAATTAATTACAAGGCTTGGCTAACTCAACTGAAGTCAGTCTCTCTCCCTCTTCCAGTCTCCATATCTCGCGGTTATTAACTAGTAAACAGAAAACAAGGGATAAAAATGGCATCGCAACTGTGAATACTGACGAGATTCCACAACTAGTAATTAAGATGGATCAAGTAGTTGGTTCATTAAAGAGGGAGGATACTAATTAAAAGCAAGCATTTTGCATGGTCGTTGTGGGAGGTGCATGGTGGGGGCGTTACTTTGACAATTCATTTGATATTCCTTCCTTTTACTTTTATTTAATTTTTAATTTTGATTAACGTGTTTGTGTTTTTGCTGGTGCTGCAGCCCTTACAGAGCTAGATAGATGTTATCATATTAGATAGCTTGGTGTGTGCCTGTGGGTCTGCATGTTCTGTTAGTAATAAGAAGAAGAGTAAAATAAAAATAATTCTGCAACCAACAGAGCGCGAGATTCCGCTATTAATGTGGAGGCCCTGCAACTCCAACCTTGTTGTTTATGCGCTTCACTAGCTTCTGTAGAAGTATGGATCACAGAGAGAGAAGAATATTATGGGCTGGGCAGATGGGACGTTGGCATGGTATTGAATGCTGCTATGGTCCTTTGGCATTAGGATTTTAATTCGGTAGCTGCGGGTTTTTAATGCACCACCTAGCACCCTGCAACTGCAGTATGCTTCTCTCACTCCCTGTCTCTCTCTCTCTCTCTCTTCCTTCCTCAAATGTTGATCCATGACATCCCCAATTTTCTTCTCATTGCTTTCACCACACCCTCTGCCCTCAGTTTCACCATCGTCATTATCAATATATATATCCTCCTCAGCAGTCAATCCTCTTCAACTTCTTTGTTTTCTTCATTTGCTAAATAATTCTATATATAGTTGATGCAACATGTAGGAAAAATATAGTGTTTTGCGTATATATAATCACCTTATTGAAATAGTTATTGTGATTTTGGCCTGGTTTCACTCAGAGAAGAAGACTGCTTACTGCTGCATCTGCATGTACGTAGGAACGTATCTTGTGGTTGGTCTCCTGAATCTGATTGAGCCGCGCCAATATCCCAGTGCTCTTTCATCCTCTCACGTCGGCTGCCTCTGCCCTCCTTCCTTGCTTGCTCGACATCGATCTAGTTAGTATTTCAATTTTGTTCTTAATTTCGGTACTCCCTTTTGATTTTATCCATAATATGCTATCGCATGTTTTATTGTTTTAAAAAATAATTGACATATTATTAATTTTTTTGGTCATTAGAAAATAAGAAGCAGTGGCTTTTTATTGGGCCAAATTAGAAAGTGAGTGCATAAATAACTCACAATTGAATCAATTGAATACCTATGTATTATTTTTTTTTTTGCTTATTACACTTGCTCAGCCGATGTGATAGAACAGAATCCTAATATACTTCACTCTCCGGTTTTGCTTCGACCGGCGACCATCTTCGTTAATGTAATGAACAGACAGCAGTAGCCAGAAATATGCTTTATTGGATTGCCAATGTTATCGTGTGAGTCAGTTACTGATTGGACGTTGCTGCCTACTTGGTTGTCCGTCCAATTGTAACTAACGTATTTTCACGGTATACATGTCGCTTCATAGCATGAGTAGTTACATGGAATATTGGAAAAAATTGTTAATGCTGGGAGTGAGAAGAAAGAAGGAGAAGAAATGGTTAGAAGTGTAAATGCAGCAGGGGCGGCGTTGGCCAATGTAATTGCCACGTAAGTACGGACTGTCGGTCGACTAGCTGCTATTAATTTTCCTCTAGCAAATCGGAAGCAATTTTAGCATTGAAGGGAAAAGAAAGTATTCAGATCATATTTGTTTGTTATTTTGCTAAGTGAGCTGTTAAAGACACTTCAAAAAAGTCATTCAACACTTTTATTAATGTATTTAAAGTGTATGATGACTTTTCTAAAACCCGTAGTTAACGAAATTTGTATTATAATTTCATTTCATCCAATTATTTAACTTGATGATGCAGGCTTTGAATTTCCGTTGCCCCATTCGACTTGTATTAGGAAATGTGTAAGGATATTTGTTAACAATTTGCAAGTTGGTGAAAAAACCACTAATTTCAGAAAAAAATAAAACATGGAAAATGAAAAAAAAAATTCACTAAGAAAAATAACGTAAATCCATCACTTGTGGTAACTAAAATTTGACACAACCAACCACAAGGTCTAGTAGATAATTTTAATCATATATTTGGTTCCTTTTGCACCAAGAAACTAAACTAATTTAGTTCCATATGATATCTTGGAACGTCCATATTCTCACACATGAGCCAAATTAAGCCCAAACTATAAGCCTAGCCACTCATTCATATAGTATGTAGATCATAGATTGTTTGTCCCCATATATCCACTTCCACTAGTTTGACATACTTGCAAGCTCTCACTCTCCACCTCCCATCACTAAATCCATTGCCACGTCATCGGATAGCATCTCCCCCAGCCAATCAGACCCATCCTCACCGGATAACCCTGCCTCCACCTCACCCCCAATGCCACTCGTTCACTATATCCAATCATCAATTCCTCCACCACACATAACCAATCCCCTCCCACCCTATTAAAACTCACCTTTCCTATCTTCCCATTTTGATCATCCCTTTTAAAACTTGAGGCGACCGCTCCCTAGAACACATTCACTCAACTACACACAATGGCCTCCGTCACCCCCGCCGCCGTCACTATCCCATCATTCACCGGACTCAAGTCCTCCGGCGCAGCCAAGGTTGGCGCTGCCGTTAAGGTCTCAGCCTCCCCAAGGCAGATGTGCGTCGTCAAGTCATCCCTCAAGGATGTCGGTGTGGCCGTCGCCGCCACCGCAGCCAGCGCTATCCTCGCCAGTAATGCCATGGCCATTGAGGTCTTGCTCGGCAGCGATGACGGTGGCTTGGCCTTCGTCCCCAACAGCTTCTCCATCGCCCCCGGCGAGAAGATTGTGTTCAAGAACAATGCTGGATTCCCACACAACATTGTCTTCGACGAGGACGAGGTTCCCAGCGGTGTGGATGCCGGAAAGATCTCGATGAGCGAGGAGGACCTCCTGAATGCCCCCGGGGAGACCTACGCCGTCACCTTGACCGAAAAAGGTTCATACTCTTTCTACTGCTCTCCTCACCAGGGAGCTGGCATGGTCGGTAAAGTTACCGTTAACTAATTCAGTTGTGTCTGATGAATTGTATTTATGCTTCCTTTTTTGGGAGGTAAAGTAGGGCTTCTGTACTCATCAGATTATATTGCCACGAGAGACAATGTGCGAGGTGAAACCATTTATATATTGAGCGCCTTCCTGTTTTTTCATCATTCTTCTTTGTTTAAAGTTGTTCATTTTGTGTGCTAGCTTTGATTTCATTTCGTTACTTATGGGTTGTTCGAGCTTGCTAACTTCTTAATCACTTTCCCTCTATTACAAGTGCTTTTTGTTATAAACACTACCAAAAAATGCTTTCTCATAAAGTGCTTTTATAAATCGGAGCACTCTTCTAATTTTATTATTAAACGTAGTAAAAAACTATTAACCCCTTAGAAGCAGTCTCAAACAGACCTTAAAACAGGTTATAAGTGTAGTGACTAAACTGTTATGTCTGTACAATCGCAAATTGTGCCAGTTAGTTAGGATAGGGTACTGCTATCTGCACTGATTTTTACTTCTCACACACTCCTCTAAATTTCGGTGTCGGATTAAATGAATTGAAGAAGATCAATGACAAAAAATTAACGACGGTGTGTGAGAGACAAAAATAAGTATGTGAACTGCACTATTCATTAAGATAATATGTACGCAGTGTTGCATTCTAGTTCTGTCCCCTTCTTTATTTAGGGTAGGTTAGAATATTAACTTAAAAAAGAAAGAAAGAAAAAAATGTATTGGGTCTACATTCTGACGGTAAACAAAAAGAAAAAAAAAAGAAGAAATAAATTGAATTAATTTCAATAGGGTATACACTATTGAGGTGATAAATTACAAGAGCTATGTACCCTAAATTCATTCCAGTAATAGGGTGCTTGCGATCGATTTGTCACTAATACTTGTACGCTCCCACACCTTTTGTATAGTATGGAACCCCTTCTTTCAATCAGGTCAGCATTTTCGTATCGAATGGTGATGAAAATATAAACATGGGAGAAAAAATTGAAGGAGTCTGCAGCCTGCCTAATGTTTAAAGTTATGTAGTGAGTGCATCAGGAAGGGTAGTTCGGCCTCCGAGGATCTTACCACCGACGTCAGGGAAACTCTCTCGTCCAGGAATTGCACTTACCTTCCCATTGACATCCACCGCAGCCGGGTATTTCATCAAATGCCCTTGTAATGGTGCAAAGTCATCCGCCACAAACCTCGTCCAGTTATCTCCAGCGATAGCGTTCACACGCTTCACACAATCCAACGTTTCAGCCTCCTTGAAGCATTTGTCCACCATCCCCAAGTGTTCTGCCCAAAGTGACATTCTATACCCATACACCTGGCCACGAGGATGACGCTTCTTCTTACCCCAAGTGTGGTGGGGCTGGTATGCGCCCATGGCTATCTCGGTGTCTCTAGAACCCGCCATAGATCGTTGGTTGATATTTGCGGAACCTATGATCACATACTCATCGTCTACCACCATTCCCTTGGCATGTACGTAAATCATAAACCGTTGAAACTTTTGGGACGCCGAAACCTGAAAGCACTTGCACAGTTTGGTATGCAAAGGGCCTAACTTAATTCAACTTTTATGAAGTTATGTTGCAAATGTATAATTACCGTGTGAGATTCTCCGTTTCTGTTAGCTTGATTCACGTGACAGGATAGCGTGTCCGGCACCTTCTCCCGATTTCCAAGACAGTAGAAGTTTAGGTAGTCCTGCGGATGAGCATTCTCCACTTTCATGGCTTTCAGCTCTTTTGCTACGACTTCATACATCATTTGCATTGTCTGTCCCTGTAAACCATCAATTACAAGGCAGTGAGAATTAATTAAGCCGACTTTGTATGAAACTAAAAGACTTCAGTCTTTAATTACCTGCCAATAGAGAATTTCTTGCACAGAAGCAGAGGAGGGAACACCCTCTGGCCACATTGGTATGACGATATAAACTGCGAATCTCTCGTCTGCTCTTATCTTGCTCGCAATCTTTAACGCCAATTCCATCGGGATTAAATTGTCAGCACCTGAGTCAAAACGTATTTGTTAAGAAATTTAATTTATTGGAACACCGCTTGTTACTACTTAATTGGAATTCATATATAGTAATAGTATATGAACCTGCTTCTTTGTAAGCTGGCCATCCATACGACGATCCGACAAAATACTGATTCTCAATGTATATGAAGTGTTGTGCAGATCGGATTGCATCAATGTATGCTGTTTGTATGCTCTTGTCTACTACCAAATTCTTGGCACAAACAAGATTCTGCAGTAAAACAGAACACCAAAAAATTCACTGATTAATTTCTGCAGTAAAAATAACTATGTTGTGAAGTAAGATCATGCCGTCTGAAAGAATAGCCGACCTGAGCCTCTGCTTTATAAACATCCTTGGGAAATCCCTTCAGAGATCCAGAATCTATGGATCGAAAAACCTGTCAATTTACCAATCGAATCATCAAACAACTGCTAATTAAGGCCTAGTATGGTAAGGATATTTGATTAGTATTTATATGTAAGCCATGTGGCTGCAGGAAATGCAGTTAGATAGTGGTACCTGAACATGCCAGTTTTGAGGGTCATTTTCATCTGAAACCCGTAAGGCGGGATCATCCTTGGCAGTTGATGGGGAGGGACTAAGTATCCATGAGATGCGCTCCAATTTTATCAAAGCATCGTCATGCCAGCGAGATACTCTTTTGAATCGTTGGCCCAACTCCGACCATTTTGTGGATTTTCTCCAACGCTGCTCAAAATTGGTAAGCACATCATAGGCAGCCGGCCCTTCTATCTTGCAATGCAAATCATGCCACGGTTGCCTTGGACCCTTTGTTCCTCCCTACATACATGACATACAATCTCATTTAGCTAAAGGGTTCGTTTAATAACTATTTCATTTATAGTTATTAGATTTCAAAACGGAAAATGCAATTTTTTTACTCACAGAAAATGTGGGATTATGATAATCATCCTGGAAAACACTGTCGAGGTCTCGAAAGAGGCGATGCTCGGGAGTGTCATAGCGGCCATCACAGAGGTCTAGACCTCCTATGAAGGCGGTTATCTTTCGGTTATTTCCAGATGCTTGTGTATCCACAATCACACATTTCTGGTGATGTGTAAACAGGGTTCCAACAACCTACACAGAAGAAGATCATGTGTGAGAACGTATTATAGGTAAATATCGTCCATAAATTATTATTCATACTTAAACTCTGTTCAAATATGTGGATCAATAGATAAATGAAAAGCTAAACAGTGAGTGAACCATGGTGTAAGGCATGCCTGTTGCTTGAAAATGCTAAGCTTACTGCTGGCATATCGAGGTGCAAGCACGCATGAAACCGAAGAGTGCTTAAAGAACTTGCGGGTCTCTTCGTCATGAGTTTGCATCACTCCATTCTGCATACACAAGTAACAGAACTCAGTATTCCAAATCAAAATCAATTTTTGCAAGACGTAGTATCAACTTAAAATGGTAAATATATTCGATCAATTATAACATGCTCGTTTGGATTGTTTATGTAGGAAGCACTACCACTCACAAGTGATTTTAATTAGAAAGATTCAATTTTTACTCAACGCGAGTTCAAATGGTATGTTTTCTAGACTACTTCTATGATCTACATGCATTTTAAGCTTTTCTACCAAATATGGGTAGATGGCTTTTGGTTTAAGTATTTATAAATGCATTTGACACAAAAATTGAAAACGCTTTTGTGCCAGTTTGGTAAAAGAAACTCAGGTTTTTATGCTTTCGCTGCATTTGACAAACACGAAACCATTTTTAATTTTTTTTTCTACCAAATGTTTGTACCTTCATTCAGCTGAATTAATTGCTCCATTTTCATGCAATGGTTGTTAAACTCAAAACTTTGTTTTGTGACTCATTGCAAGAACGCCATTCAACAAGAAAACGAAAAAAAAAAAAATCAATAAAAACTAAACGTCAAAAAAATTGAAATTGAAACCGAAACGGTACCGTATTGATGAAGAATTTGCTGTGAGAAGTCTTGTCATCCCAAACGAGCAGAAGAACTCGCAAGCCTTCTTCGGACTTGTACTTAAGCAGCTCCCCCAAGTTCAAATTCCCGCCACTCGGCAGAGGCTTCGTCGGTTCCCGCACCAGCTTCACCTGATGATATATTGACCATCCCACAATATATACCAAATGATGCGCCTCCAATATCGCGTGGCAGATATCCTCCCAGCACCTCCCGTGCTGAAAAGTAACGCCGTCGTCCAGTTCAATCTCCTCCAGCATCGCCTCCGGCACGTGCGCGTCCTGGTACAGCGTCACGTGCCCTCCCTGCCGAACCGGAAAATAACAGTTTCGGATCCCGAAGTGGTCTGGATCATTTGAAATACCGTGCCGGTACATGGGATTGTCCTCGCATTTCGTGAACCGCATCTCGAGCTTAACGGCCGCGTCCGGCTTCGGCGGCTTGCCCAACGGCCCGATGATAGGGAACCAATCGCTGATCGTTTCGCCGGAAAGGATTCTAACCGCCGAGACGGACGCGACGCCGATTAAATCTGCGCCAAACATGTCGTTGTCTTTGATGTAGAATTCGACCTGCGAGACAGGGTGAGCCAGGGGGATCTTGAAATGCTCTTTCCAGACGGGGTTCTGGGAGTTGGAAATGACGCGGGTGCGAGCTACTGTAGCACCGGCGAGGCAGACGGTGACGTATGGGTCGCTGGTGATGATTTTGCCGTGGGAGTGGTGGGCCGCCGGGCGTGTGAAAGGTTTGCTGCAGGCCGAGAAGAAGCGGCGGAGGCGCTCCGAGACCATATCCATGTTGGGCAAACATCGAGCCTCGAGAATTTTCAAATCAAGGTCGCCATGGAGGTAGACAACCTTCGTCTGAGATTTGTCTTCTTCTGCCGCCATTAGTTATACAATGCCAGTACTAAGAGGGATGAATGTGAGAGCTGCCGTTGGCTGTTGCCGGAGGAACCAGGAGTTGGAGAGTTTTAGGAATTGGCCGACGTTGACTTTGTGGAACCGTCAGAAGGTGGAAAGTGTTGTCTCGTTTAGGCTTCGGATCCTCCGACGAAGCCAACGGTGAAAACCGGTGGCGGTAAAAGGCAGGAAATATGTGGGGGAGGTTGCGATCTTCCTACGAGGGAAAACGTGAGTGGTGGTGTGTCGCGGTATATAGGTAAAAATTTGTATGGGACACGTGGAGGGCGACGTACTCGAGGACTAAGAAGAGAAGGTTTTGAGATTTGACCATTTTTAGAAAATTAGTAGCTTAATTAAGGGATTTTGTGGGTTGGCACCTTGGTGGCATTTTTCTGTTTTATTGTGTGATCGTTATATTTGATGCAACAATCATTTTCAAAATTAGGTAGAAAACTGAAAAGTTGCTTTTTAAAGAGTTGAACTAATATCGTTTATAATAAGAGTGATGTTATTCATACTATGTTTTTATACTATATTTCTATACCATTTTAGTGTCATCTGATATGGACAGTCACATCATTTAAAAAATTTGCAAAAACCAAAAGAAATGAAAGAAAAAGACTCCTTGTATACCATAATCATCATTTAATTAACTAATTTTTCTTAATAATTAGTTTATTAAATAATGAACTAAATTTAAAAATCTGATTAATTCAAGTGATGTGACTGTCCACATCAAATATCACGTAAGGTGGTATGAAAATGTGTTACAAAAACATGGTATGAATATCATTTTCCTTGTAATAAAAGGAACAAACAAATTGGACTAACCTAAAACTTCTCACTTACAAGTGAAGATAAATATTACTAAACCTTAGTACTAAATAAGGATTATCCATGCCTTTTAAATCTAGATATTTAGAGCAAATTAATTACAATATCGAAGGGATTTTTTTTCTTTTTAAAAAGGAAGATTAGGGAAGGAGGGCAAGATGACCTTGAAATTAATCAAGACATTATTGTAATTAGCACTTTTGGTCTGTTCTTATGAACAAGAATATTACATGTGTTTTGACTGCCACTTTTGCCCTTGTTCAGGATATACCTCCACGATGTAAAGAAAGTTGTCTTTTTTTAATCTAAAGCAAAATGGTTTCTCTTTTTTTATTTTATTGTTAACTTGTTCTTAATCCCACGCAATTGTCCGCCACGTTTTGGTGTTGCCGTCTCGGTAACATTGTGGTAGTGAAATTGTAATATTAATTAGGTTTGAATTGGTGTCATCTAGATCATAGAAAATGAGTTGTCTAACTCTAATTTAACATGCTCCCTTTTTTTGGGGGGAACCTTGATCATATGTTGACTTGAGATTTGAGACCATACTCTGATACATACTACCCAAAAAGAAAATAGAGAGCAGAGAGAGATGTTAATGTGATGGGACATGGGAACCCATTACCGTTGCTCCCATAAATATAGAGGAAAACTAATTAAAATATTTTAAAATTTTGAGTTTTAATAAAAAATAAAAAAAAAATATTGTAAGTGAATAATACTATAATTGATTTTTTAGAGTAAAAATATGATTTTTCATTAAAGCTTCCTAAATCTAGAGAGTTTTCAATGTTTAAAAAAATAAATTTGGAATCACTTATACTATAACTGATGATGTACTAAATCGTCTTCCAACAATCTTAAAAAATATATCTCATAAACCTTGCATGTGCCTCTCCCGTAAACATTACACATGCCTCGCCAAAATACAGTCAGCGAAACAGCCAACAAAAATAAAAAAATCAATTAGAAAAAAAGCCAATTCCAAGCACCCTATATGTATGTTTTAAGCTTATTGTACGAGGAAAGGAAACGAGATTCCCCTCTTTGCTTTGCTTTCTTTTGCTTAAGTTTATGCACGGCTTCATTACCAAAAAACTTGAGTAAAGGCGTTTAACCATATCATTCGTAAGACATTTTTTACAAAAACAAACATGAGATTGTATTTGTTAACTTTAATTATGCGAGTACTTACTTTAAGCAGGGGACTAAACTTGATTAGTAATATCAAGCATCTAAAGTTTTTCTCTTATCTTGTGTGTGGACAAAATAGATGCTTAATATTCATAGATAACAGTTTTATAGTTTAATATTCACTAAGCTTCATCAAAGTTCCATCAATTCAATTATATAAAGAACCCCACCCCTACCAAAACAAAAAACAATAAAGAGGCATGAAATGTATAATTTCACTCTGTTACAAACCAGAGCATGTTTCTGAATCTCTTCTCTTCATATGATCGGAGAATTTCAAGGATTGGGATTCTCAGCGTCATGTTTACTGCCAGTGCCGAAGGCGACTTGAGTACAAGAAAACCAGACCCCAGCATGTCACCCTTCCAAAACATGAACCAAAATTACGTTGTCTATAAATTGGCAGCAAAGTCTTAAGCCAGCAGCACAACAGGACCCTTGAGCTTTACAGTAGTTGATGTGCCAGGGTCAGCCGGGAACTAGACCAGGAACTATTTTCGTTCCAACTTTCCAAATTACGAAAACTAGGGCTCCGTGTGATTGCAATTGCCGCTGTTCCTTTGGCTCGAAAGGGAAGGAGCAGCCCTAATCATCACGCTTTGTATAAAGGCTATCATCTACAAATTAATGCCAATTGCCAAATACAAAGATGAAATAATAAGTCAATGCAGAACATATGTATAACAGATACAAATAACTTGGTAGGTTCTTACCGCAGCAAATCCAACGCAAATGAGACTAAATCCAGGGAAATTAAATGGTGCCTTTTCGGACAGGAACAAAGCTGCAAGAACAACTTGAATTTCTCAGTTCGAATTAACTTTTGGCCGGAAAAACTAGTATTGGAATTTCAAATCACCTGTGAGAGGAGAGAAAGCAATCGGAGATATAACATTTGCAAGTGAACATATGCCTGAAATGCACCCTTGAGCCTTCCCCTGAAAACAATGTACAAGAAAGTCATACATTGCCAAAACAATTGGAGCCCAAAAGGCAGGGCTAGGGAAGCAACATCGGAAATGCATATAGAAATTTACCTGCTCAGACGGACCAACTTGTTTCGATACAATGCTTCGCATCTGTGAAGTTTGAACGGAATCACTTTAAATACAACATTTGAGTAATGTTTAACTCGCAAAGTTTGACGAAACTTACGCATGGTTGTGCGAACACATAAAAGATGGAAAACATGGCAGCAGCATATGGCACCCAGAAGGACCACGCAATGCCATAAAGAAACATCTGCACTCGATTAGTAAATGATTAGCTAAAATGGACATGTCAAAAATTTTAGTTTTACTTTCGGTGAGTAAATAAAGGACGGCTAGATATTACATGTGCACAGCTAAAAATGAGGCCTATCGAAAGTAGCCTCTCCTCTCCTAAAGCTGGAGCCAGCAAGGGCATTAGAACCAGCTGCATCAAGTTTTATTTTCAGTACCATGGAAAATAAAACCAAAACTGCGGAAAAAGGAGGCATGCGGAGGATCAAAAGACAGTAAAATAAATGCAGTACCTGTGAAACAGTGCCTGCTACCCCGGAAATAACCATCAGGTCAGCAAACTGATCCTTGTTGAAGTGAAATTGCGCCTTTAGATAGTACTACTCAACAAACAATGATTTTTGATCTCAGCATTTCTTATGTTCGATAGAGCTTACCGCTACATAATTAGATGCAAATCATCCACAAACAACGATTTTTTTGTGAACTAATCACACTAATGTCCACATTGTAAAAAACTGAAAACAAACGAACAATAAAAGAGTGCAAAAAATGGAAATTAAAGTAGTTACTAATTCGTAGGATGAGAGACGTACCATCATTGAAGCATGAAGGCCAACATCCGCTAGATTACTGAAAAACGCAACAATTGCAGCTTGCGAAAACGTCGTGCTGCAATTAGTTAAAGTGTAAGCACTTACTTGAACTACAAGTCTGCAAATTAAATAAGAGCAACACTTAGCAGGAAAGTGACTGACCTGGTTTTCAACAAGGAGATAAAATCACTTAAGGAAGGCAATGTTTTGGCTGGCTGCAATATCTGAGCACTTGAATTTTCAGCTGAATCCTTAATTTTGATCTTTTCATCCGACAGTAACGGAGCGGAAAGGTTCTTGTCTATGTTGGAATCCGGTAGGAAAACCCTCATGTACATAACTGCCACAACCGCCACCACCGTCGCAACCTAATAATAATAATGTTAATAATTATAAAAATAATGCAATCATATCACAATTATGCATATTAACAGAGAGGAAAGAGTCCTGGAGAGAGATTAATGGACCTGAAAAGTGGAGGAAGTGGAGACGAAACGAGTGAATAAGGTTCCGCAGACAAATGCAGAGGAACTAATCCCCGATAGGACTCCGAACGTCGAGGCTCGCCGCCCTTCTGCCACATTATCTGCCTGAAAATCATTGATATTTCACACCTCCATCAAAATTTCAAATCAAACAACGAACAATATGAACATGGAGCGTTTTGTTTTTTGTTTTTTTGTTTTTGGTTTTTATTTAAGAATAAAATGGACCTAGTCGAGTCATTGAACACACCGAGGCCGATGTACGGCCTAATAGTCGGTGACTAATGGGCCTGATATCCTTAGTAAGCCCAAATACGACAGAAAGATTAGAAAGTTACCACATAGGCAAGGGCGAGGCACTGAACGCTGCCTTCACAAACCATCTCGGTCAGAGTTTTGACCACGAAGTAGACGTAGAAGAAACTCTTACTCCTGCTGTACCCCAATATCCCTGTAAGCGTTCAATTACCCCATTTCTTGATCAATCGTTTATTGGTTACTTTTCAGAATTGTTATTAGTAGTCTAAAATAGTTATATCGAACTCGTTACTTTTCATTTTTTGAATTAAGAAAAAATATGCAGTAACTAATTTGAAGTGTCAATAATAACTACGTCAGATTATCTAGAAATAAAAAATTAGAATGAGAGCTTGATGTTAAGCAAAAAGAAAATAAAATAAATAAAGCCAAAGTATTGTCATTAAAGTTCTCTAAATATCATGTGTCACTTTATCTTTGTTAGTGGTTGGTTTGGATCCAAAGAGTTGAAAGATTACCCAAAGGGATAATTCTGAGGATCATTGGCAGTGTAAGCAAAGCTTTTCTCCCACACTTGTCTGAGAGGTTACCTACCAATGGCATCATCACCAGTGTTCCCAGCCCTACGATCTGCATCAATCATGCACAAATCAATGTATTTTCAACCAAAGATCATAGACAAGGGATAGGCTAATTGTTAAGTTCTACCCACTTTCTTTTTTTTATTCAGTTAAA